TATAAATATCCAAATGATCAAAGATTAATAATATCAACAACATACTGGCTTGAAAACTTTTAAATCTTCTAATTTACAGAATTTATTAAATAAGTTTTCATATATATTGCACACACATATATTTTCATACATTATAAATAAATAAACATTTTTCATTTTTTTAAAACATTAGTTTTATTTTGAAATTCTTGCATTTGGTAGGGTTCCATGCTTTGTAAGATATTTCTAATTTCGATTTCTTTTTCTGCTATCCATGAATTTTTCATTTTTCTTCATTGTCATCATTACTGTTGTTATAAAAACTATTCAGTTTCTCCATTATATTCTTTATATCAGATTTCCAATAAATTTTTGATAGAAAACTGATGGATTATAACATTTTGTTGAGGGAATGAGTGAAAACACTATTTTTGGAATTGATGATGGTGGATTACGTAGCCTTTGTTATTATATAAAATAATATTTAAATGCAATTGATTGGATTAGTATTAGTATCATGTAAATAAAATATACAAATTAAAATATTTTTCATAAATAATACTTACGATAATTGTATAGTTTTTTCACTAAAACAACTTCCGCAACAAATAATCATTGATGGCCAAATTTCGTAATAAAATCTTTCGTATAATCCATCACAATATTGACATTTTTTTGCCAACAAAGTTAACCAAATATATTTTTGTTCCGTTAAACCAAATGGTGGATCCAACTCAGGATATTTCAAGGATTGCCGTCTTGATTCTTTCCAAATCATTTGTGTTGTCAATGATTTTGACCATAATAAATCACGAAAAAATTTACATACAGTGGATAAATTGTATAAATCAATTGGTGTAACTTTTTTACAAATATCTATTATGATTTCAGCTGGTAATTGAGTTATGATTGTTTTTATTATTATCGGATTTGGTATAATTGATGATGATGGTATGTTTGGAATATTATTAATGGTTTTTGTTGTTGTTGTTGTTGACAATGATATTGATGATGTTGATGTTGGTTTAATTAGTGTTTTTGAATTTTTGACTGCTGCTACTACTATTCCTGCTGCTGCTACTAATGATGATGATGATGATGATTT